TAGTTCCCCAAAATAACACCCGCTGGCATAGAATAAGGTCTGAAAGACTAGGCGGACATGACTCATTCCTGTTCCTGATTTTAATCTTACTCGAGCAGGTCTGCCCCTAAACCCTGCGCAAAATGGGAACGCATGAAGGATCATGTTTCATCCTAACACTTAAAAACGAATATGCAGAGAAGTGGCACCCACATTTTGGCACAAGCTTTACATTTTTTGGCGTAAGAGTTTATAGACAAGGTGTGGGCGCTAAAAGCGCGAGCAGATCCGTGGACGACCCTCTGTCGTCTGAGACCTTTCCTCAACGTACTCTTGGAACTAAAGATGGCCAAACGCTGGGTGGCAGCGAGCAGGGCGTCGGAGTCAAATGAGAAGCAAAAGCCACCCATCAGAAAAGGAACCCCCCGTATCAACATTAGACATGGGTCATCAGATGATCCTGCCCAGGGCCTTCAACCTCCAGTCAAAGACCTTCCTCACCAGTCGCAGCTGTAGAGCGACTGTCAGGTAAAGTCAGAAGTCTTGGTAGCCCAGTAACCATCTTAGAATAACAGCACCCATTTTGCGGTTGGCTACTTTAAAAGGGAACCTTGAACCAAAAAATGAAAAAGGTACCACTGGGCTACCACGAAAACTTCACGCATGAACGTGGGCGCCATCAAGCCACACTTCACTGCTTAGAGATCGTACCGGGAAGCGATTTTCTGGCCGGGAGCTTTTCAGTTCTTGGGCTTCGGGTTTAGGGTGATAGGGTGATAGGGTTTAGGGGTTTTGGGAAGAAACAGCTACCATGCTTCTAACCCCAGCTAGAATCAACCCTGAATCTCCAGGTACCCTTTGGAAAGTGTTGAACGTAAACTTCTTAGGGGATAGGATGAGGGGGACCCGTTGGGGATATAGACCCTCTGAATAAGGCCCCTGTTTAAGAGAGCCAGAAGAGGGGTGAGAAGGGTTCCCTTGTAAGCTAAACCCTAAACCCTAAACCCTAAACCCTAAACCCTAAACCCTAAACCCTAAACCCTTTTAAGGGCCCCCCTTATCCTACCTAGGAGTTCTTGCGCCGCCCGTAGTCCCATGGATAGCCAGAGGGGATGCTGAATTTGGGATAGGGTTTAGGGTTTAGGGTTTAGGGTTTAGGGTTTAGGGTTTAGGGTTTAGGGTTTAGGGTTTAGGGTTTAGGGTTTAGGGTTTCGGGTTTAGGGTTTAGGGTCTAGGGTCTAGGGTCGCTTCTTATCTGGGGTTGAAAACCCCCAGGCTTGAGTCAGTAAGCAGCTGTCGGGTAAAGGCATGTAGTTCGTAGGCAGCTGTCGGTTAAAGGCATGTGAACATCTGCAATTTACAGAGCTTCGGCTGAGAGTTTAGCTTACGGCTTAGGACATTCGCAAAATCGCCACACCTGGGCACTGGGCATATGCCACTGCGCCAGCTGTTGCTTCGAAATCGCTTTCCTTCGGGCTTAAGTGGCGTGCCTAATTCTTGAAACTCGAAACCGCTGGTCACTCAACTCCAGACGTGCAACTTTCATCAGGGTCTTGCCACGAAGCGGGGTAGTGATTCGACCAGGCCGTATAAATCTGCCGCGACTCTTTTGGGCCAAGGTAGATCTCGCGTCCATGTCCAATGCGGTGGTTGTCTACCATCCTTGGTAGTGCAATAGTTATAACCAGGGTACCATTTTTGGAGTTGGGTACGTCATAAGGGCACCTGGAACGAAAAAAACGCAAAAAGGGTACCACTGCGCTACCAAGCATCACAATGTCGTGCCGATTGTAGGCATGGTTGAAGGTATGCTCATGTATGGCAGTCCTAGGTATATATCAGGGAAACCCGACCGTGCTTGTTTTACGGTTGCCTGGTTTCCATAGTCACCTACCCTAAACAAAACAGAACCCTGAGGGTCCATGTACCTATTTAGGGAATACTTGGGCCTTAAAGTATCTCCTACATAGGGTCTGTTGGGCCGAAGTCTTCGATAACACGGCACATGGACCCTTAGGGGAAAAGAGTCCCGAATGGGTATCTAAAGTCTTCATGGCTTGTAGCTCGTGGGAGGAGAACGCCTGGCCGTTGCCCTTCAGAGCTGTTGATCCCATGCTGGTCTCTGGCATGAACATGCTGTACAGGCCAAAAAGGACGCGGTAGTAGAACGACAGCCTCTTTTCTCTGGCGTTTTGGGTTTGGGGCTTAGGGTTTACAAGGTTGTGCAAACCATGAACCTGCGAGAATCCATCCGAGAGACTGCAGGGTTCAAGCTCTAGGATTTAGGTGTCAAGCGGGAAACATTCTAATCTCACATTCGGGTCCTTCTTCAGGAGTTGTCCTTCTATATAAGGGGCGTTGGGGTCTCTGGGAGAACCCTAAACCCTAAACCCTAAACCCTAGGCCCCCTAAACCCCGAAACCCTAACAGCACCCAACCCGAGGCTCGAAAATCTGGAGCCCAAAACATTCTCGGGGTTCAGGGTTTAGGGTTTAGGGTTTAGGGTTTAGGGTTTAGGGTTTAGGGTTTAGGCTTTCAAAGTTACCGTTCGGGGGTTTAGGATGGACCCAAGAGTCCCAGAGTAGCCCTTGTGCGTTTGAAAATGGACATGCACCTTACTTCCCGGATACCCCGTATATTAGGGTTTAGGGTTTAGGGTTATACTACCCGGATACCCCGTATATACCATGTGATCACAAGGAGCCCAAACATCAGAGAAGGTTGGGGGGCCATATTAAAGGACCCTATAACTTCCGATTACTTCGGCATCTCTATCCCTAAGCCCTGACTCATAGTATGGGGTTTAGAGAGGAGAAGGCTCCTCCGTCTCGTAAACGCTAGGGCGCCTCTTTCCCCCCAATGGCCTGCGGAGGGAACCCTAAACCCAAAAAGAGAATAGTTCGGGTGGCGGGTGGGGCTACTAAGCTACGTGAGCACGCGACAGGGAGGGCCGGGAGTGCACCCTAGATCTAGGCAAAAAGCACACTCCACCCACAGGTACATTGATACACACCCCAAACCCTAAACCCTAAACCCTAAACCCTGAACCCTGAACCCTAAACCCCAAACCCTCAACCCTAAACCCTAAACCCCCCAACTACCCCACTTGATGAAGCCAGCCAGCGCCATGGGCCACATCCGTTCCAGGCCGTTCCAGAGGCTGGCCTTCGTGGGTGGGTTTAGGGTTTAGGGCTTGGGATTTAGGGGCTTATAAGGTTTACGGGGTTTATGGGGTTTTTTCGGGTTTAGGGTGCCCTTCGGGTTTCGCTTCAGCAGCCCAGGCCCTACACCCTAAGCCCAAAACCCTAAACCCAAAACCCTAAACCCAAAACCCTAAACCCTATATCTGCCAACAGAAAAAAACACAAACAAAGCTCACTACGGAAGTCAAGGTGGCTGTGCGTGCATAGTCCCCAGGCCTGAGCTCGGCTGATGGAACTCAGGTTTGGGGGTTGGGGTTGGGGTTTAGGGTTTAAAGCTTATTATGTAGGGTTTGGGGTTTGGGGTGTAGGGGTTGGCTTAGACCATCAGGGTTTAGGGATGTAGGGTGTTAACAGTACAGGTTGAAATCTTCTTGGTCGATTCGTTTTTTCAAAGATGCGCTCTTCCTACACCCTGCACACTACACCCTAAACCCTAAACCCTAAACCCTACACACTCAACTTAACCCGAAGCCCGTAACCCGGCGTTGACTCATCTTCGCTCTGGGCCATCAGTGATCTAGCCAGCAGCCTTCGGGAGCTTTCGTTGTCCCTCATGGGGTACCCATCGAAAGGGGCTTAGGGTTCAGGGGTTAAGGTTGCGTACGTGCTTGGTTTCTGGGCGGGCGGGGCTTCGCTGCTTGGGGTTTAGGGGGGTGGCTGCAAGAATAATTTGGGATTTTAGAGTAAATTTTAGAGGCTCTTCGGCAGGTGTTAGACAAAAAAACAGGCTTCCAGGAACAAATGAGCGGCAACATCTGTCCATGGAGGACATTGATATGGTTGAACCACACCTGGGTAGACGAGAAACCATACTACAATAAGGGCACCCCTTTTGGGGTTGGCTACCTTATTGAGGAACCTTGAACACTCACCCCAAAAAAAGGGCAAAGGGTACCAGCGAGCTGCCCAGACACTGGTTGGCCAGTTGTGGCGTGCTTCCGGATGAAGGGCTGCGCGTTTCCTTGGATGACTTCTGAACCCCTCCAAAAAAGCTTAACGTTTGGCCTCCTTATTGTAAAAGGTTAAACCTCCTTATTGTAAAAGGTCAAAGTCCTAAGAGGCAGCCAGACGAAAGCCAAGATTACCCTAAACCCTCAGCCTTAAGCCCTAAACCCTAAGCCCGAAGTCCTAAGCCCGAAGTCCTAAACGCTAAACCCTAAACCCTAAACCCTAAACCCAAAACCCTAAACCGCAAAACCCAAACCCAAGCCAAGCTTCGCAAGGTCAGCCTCTTGGAGGAGTCCCAGGTGCAATTGAAGCCCTCTCGCTGACAAGTCTGCAATGCGTCTTGTTCCTCAACGTTTGGGGTTTAGGGTATGGGCTTTAGGGTTGCGGGTTTAGGGTTCCTCAACTGCCAAGCGAGACCCAAGGGCAACCTAGAAGAAAAAAAGGCGCCATTGTTGGCTTGAAGGCGCGTATAAGGGAACCTAAACCCTAGCTTAAACAAGGAATACGGGCTCTTGAAACTCCATGAACAATATCTGCAGTTTGAACGCCAAGCCCTACTTGGAGGTTCATGCGTAGTTCGAAGTAGGGTCATAAGTGGTCTAAGTGTACTGAGACCTTATTTAGGGTACTCATAACCCTCTGATATCTGCCGGTGAACCTCCACGTGCCCCCAAAAAACTTCGTGACAACGGTCCAAGGCTCATCCTTAAACATCATCTGCCAGCACTTCTGAACCAGGGGATCCCAGAAGGATGTGGATGTGCCTATACCGAACTTGGGACCCTAGCAAAAAGAACAAGTTTTGGTGTTCCTTAGGTATTTTAGTAACCAACAGATGAAAAAAAATGTTTTCAAGTACCCCTGAGGTGCAATCGTCCATGTTGCGGAGGTACTCCACCCGCCCGTCTGCGAATTCTGATCTCAGATTTGGGTCGCCAGAAAGCGTCTCCCAAACGGCCTGATCTCGAATCTCAGGGTACTTACATGGCCCCCTTAGTGCGGGCCCTTGAAAGAGGGACCCTTCATATAACCCCCTTCCATACCGTAGACAACCCAAGGGCCTATACTTCAGGACCCCAAAGTAAGGGCCGATAGAACTACCGCTAGATCGCAATCAAACCCTAGACCCCTAAACCCTAAACCCTAAACCCCAAAAGCCGAAACCCTGAACCCTTAAACCCTTTGGGGTTTATGGGTTTAGTTCCTAGCGGCCTGAAAGTCGGTCAACGGCGTTTCGCCTCCTCTCCACTGGTCAACTTGCTTGGCGTAGAAGAGCCTCTTGCTGATTCTTCAGCTGAAGGGAATGTAAGGTCTTGGGTTGACTCTTCTGGAGCAGTTATTGAGAAGAGCCTGTTGCTGATCTTCAGCTGAAGGGAATTTTTAAAGTCGTGGGTTGACCTAAGCAGTTATTGCATCGAAAAACCTAGGCTTTTAGGTTTTGAACAAACAGAACATTCGACTTTGAACCTGTGAATCCTAAATATTCAGAGCTAGAAGCTGTGTTGCCGGCGGTGAGTCGCGAAAGGACATCTCCAGATGGACCGGCACCGCCCGATGAGAGTCAAAGTCCGCGGCGGTAAACACGTAGGTCGTGTTCTGGATTTGGCTTCGTGGGGACGTGCCCAAGTATGCCTTCTCCTTGCTGTCGGCTGCCGGTACTGGCAGCAGCATGAAAAATAGTGAGCATATATATATATATATATGCACATAAATCTTCATTTATGTATGTTTCGACATAGTTCAACACCCTAAAAGCCTGTAATTAAGCCCTAAAACCCTAAAACCCTAAAACCCTAAAACCCTAAAACCCTAAAACCCTAGAACCCTAAAACCCTAAAACCCTAACACCCAAAAACCCTAAAAGCCTAAAACCCCAAAACCCTAAAACCCAAAACCCTGAAACCTTAAAACCCTAAAACCCTAAAACCCTAACACCCAAAAACCCTAAAACCCTAACAACCTAGAAGCCTAAAAGCCTAAAAGCCTAAAAGCCTAAAACCCTAAAACCCTGACACCTTAAAACCCTAAAACCCTAAAACCCTAAAACCCTAAAACCCAAAAACCCTAACACCCAAAAACCCAAAAACCCTAAACCCCAAAACCTACGAACCCTATAACCCTAGTGTCCCAAAACCCTAAAACCCTGACACCCTTAACGCCAGCCGCGCTTCGAGGTTTGGTATCATGGCCAGCGCGACCTCTTCGAAACCGAGGGCGTCTTCCACCTGGAAGCCTCGGGTTTCCCTTTTTCCCAAACGAAACCCTAAACCCTAAACCCGAAGCCCTAAACCAACATGGGACAGTTTAGGACAAAACGAATTAGGGTTTAGGTTTACGGTGTTTAGGTTTTCGGGTTTAGAGTTAAACAGGGGCAGGGTCTCAGGGATTTAGGGTCCAGGGGTGTAGGGTTTTTGCGTCTAAGGGGAACCAAGAAAACACCTTCATCACCGAAGCCCGCTTTCTATACAGGCAAGCTTCCTCTCAGGGACCTAAGCCCTAGACCCTCACCCTACACCCTAAACCCTCAACCCTAAACCTATCAAGTGCAAACAAAGCGCAAAAACTAAACCCTAAACCCTAAAGGCACACCACACTGAGGAGAGCCCAAGAAGCCCCTGAAGAGCAAGGCGCCATACTCAAAGAAGGCGCTCTTCAAGCACTTGGTGTTCTTCTGCGTCCATTCGCCTGAACTACTTATAGTGGCGGTTTAGGGTTTAGGGTTTAGGGCTTAGGGCTTAGGGTTTAGGGTTTAGGGTTTAGGGTTCTTCTGCGTCCATTCGCCTGAACTACTTATCGTGGGGTGTATTTGGGGTTTAGGGGTTTAGGGAATGGGGTCTAGGACTTTAGGGGTTTAGGGTTCAGGGGTTCAGGGGTTCAGGGGCTCAGGGGTTCAGGGGTTCAGGGGTTCAGGGGTTTAGGGGTTTAGGGGTTTAGGGGTTTAGAGGTCTAGGGGTTTTAGGGGTTTTAGGGGCTTTAGGGGTTTTAGGGGTTTTAGGGGTTTACGGTTTAGTGTTTAGGCTTAGGGGCTGAATACCCTAGCCCCAAAAAGGTTTACCTTTTATGTTTAGTGGGGTTCTCTGCAACGTACAAGGGCAAAAAAGCGCGACCTGTGCACACGCGAGTCCAGCGTCAGACTTGCTAGCTACGAACTGAAGATTCAGAAGTCAGGGGTTTAGGGTTTAGGGTTTAGGGTTTAGGGTTTAGGGTTTAGGGTTTAGGGTTTAGGGTTTAGGGTTTAGGGTTTAGGGTTTAGGGTTTAGCGGTGGGAGAGGTCTGGATGCGTGGCGGGGGATGCGATAGTTGTACTTCAGGATACGGACCCTGGGAACGACCGGGCTTCCAAGGAGCATCCTCACCTTGATGGGCCCGATAAACGGACCGGCGCGATTCGAAGGGAAGGGACAACATTGCTGAGACCGTAGGATGCAAAGGATCGGAGAGTTTTTCCTTTGCCACGGGGAGGGGTATCTTGGCGCGGAGAGGGTGGAAAGTTTTGACAAACGTTGAAGCAGATTACGCTAACGTCTCGGGTGGAATTTCGTTGGTGTCACTTCTCTTTTGGGGAGGCAGTTGATTACCCGATGATCACCCGTTATGGGCGTCGAGGTCACACAAGGCATCGTGTAGCTGACTATGTGATTCGACCTTGGCTTTTTGAACATGGCCGTGGGGTCTTGTCAAAATTTCCAGCGAAAGTTGAGCCCAGAAGTCCAGGCTCCAAAGGAACGGGTCAAAGCCTTGTTCCTAAACCCTAAACCCTAAACCCTAAACCCTAAACCCTAAACCCTAAACCCTAAACCCTAAACCCTAGACCCTAAGAATAAGGGAGGGGGGTTCAAGGGGGGGGGGGGGGGGGGGTAGGTACCTAGCAGACGTTCGGGAAGCTTAGCGAGCCTTCGGAAGTAGTGGGGAGTAGCCTTTTGGCCTTAAAGTCGGTCTTGGGGTCTTTCTTAAGGGTCTAGGGGTGTAGGGCTGCAAGGGCTTTAGGGTTTAGGGTTTAGGGTTGAGGGGTTAGGGTTTAGGGTTTAGGATTTAGGGTTCAAGGACTTGGTGAACAAGAAACGCATCGACTGGAGGAACAGCAAGTCACGAAGCCATGAAGAGTCCAGCGCGTACTCCGGCTTCGGGGATATCTTCGCCACAAAGCCATGAACCAAAGCAAACTCCTGGGTTTGGGTTTAGGGTTTAGGGTTTAGGGTTTAGGGTTTAGGGTTTAGGGTTTAGGGTTTAGGGTTTAGGGTTTAGGGTTTAGGGTTTAGGGTTTAGGGTTTAGGGTTTAGGGTTTAGGGTTTAGGGTTTAGGGTCTTATTGAAGGTTCATGGGCAGTTGGAAGTACGGTCAAGAGTACGATCACTCGAGTTAAAAACTTATTGAGGGCACTTCTATAAGCCTACTGCTTACTAACCATGGACCTCCCAGTGGGGTTTAGGGTTTAGGTTTTAGGTTTAGGGTTTAGGGTCATTCCAAAAAATGAGGTGTGACGTGCTTAAGGTTGCAAAAGCAGACATGTTCTACTAGACCCACAAGTAGCCTAGGCACAAAAAGTTGCCCTTCTTGGTCAAATGGGTCTGATAAGGGAAACTAAGCCGAAAGCCTTAACAAAAAGGGCATAAAGATGAGATGCCCATGTCGGTAAGACCATGAAGCCCGTATCCAAGCCTAAACCCTAAACCCTAAACCCTAAACCCTACACCCTAAACCCTAAACCCTAACTTCCTGAGTCGGCTCGAGACCCCTAAACCCCAAACCCCCCAAAACCTGAACCCGGAACCCTCGACTGCAGGGGCTTAGGGCTGAGGGTTTAGGGCTTAGGGCTTCGGGCTTAGGGTTTAGGGATTAGAATAGGGTTTTGGAGGTTCCTATAGTATAGTTCTGAAGGGACCACAATCGGAATATTGAGTGCTAGTAATAATTCCGACCCTTACATTTGACCCAAACCCTAAACTCTAAGCCCCAGACCCCAAACCGCCTAAGGCCTCTTAACCAGGTCGAGACTCGAGCTCTGGAGTGGAACAGCTCGCATCAAATGTCGCCGCGGACAGAGGCTGGAGGAAGAGGAGCAAAGCCCAGCCGGTCCGAAAGCAAGCCATCGCTTGAGGAGGCCGGCTTAGGGAGGCCCTAAACCCTAAACCCTAAACCAAAACCCCAGGGAGGCAGGAAGGGCAAGGAGGCGGAGGGGGGGTACTAGGTAGGGGGGTTCGAGGTTTTAGGGCTCAGGCTATTGTGCTGTTCTCAAAATGGGATGCCCTAAACCTTGAAGGGGCGATAGAGGATGCGCGAGGCCCCGAGTTTAGAATATGATGAGATAATGCAGGGTTTTCGGTATAGGTTAGGGTTTAGAGAAGATGAAGGATTATGGTTGAGAGCTTAGGGTTTGGCAGGAACAAGTCTTCCCACTAAGTACGCGGCTGCTTTGACGTCGCCACATCGGAGCCATTCAACCACGTCAAACGATTGACGCGGCGAACCGATTTGTGTCCCTAAAACCCTAAACCCTAAACCCTAAACCTTAAACCCTAAATCTTGTCTCAGGAAGTCACATTGCGAGAAATCATTGTGCCTAACAAAGCCCATTGCGCAGTCGAAGCTGAGATTCAAAGCAAGAACGCAAAAACGGATGTCAACACGCGATAAGCCCCTTTTCTCTAAGCACCTCAACCCGCAACCTTATCACTGAGCCCGGAACTCTGTACCCTGCATGACCTAGGGTGTGAGGCCAAGGGATTGCAAACTCCAACAACACCCCAATATCAGCTCGATACCCGCGAACTTCAAAACACCGAACAGCCACCTGGCCTTCGTATCTGACTGTCCACGTGCCGCCTGCACACGCCTCACGATAATACTCTGAGTGAGGTTCATGGGTAGGGGAGATTGGGGAGTAATAGTAATCAATAAGGTCATCATGAACCATTGCAATTGCCCATCAACCCTCACACCTAAACCCTACCTATGACTTCCCAAGCTTTGCATGAGTCAAGCGCTTACCTATAGACCCCCCGCTTGAGCATGAAAGCGCTAATTAGGGTTTAGAGTTTAGGGTTTTCGGTTTCGGGAGGTTTGTTAGGGTTTGGGTGTTCTTCAGGGGTCCGGGGTGGAGGGTTTGAGGATCGCCACCGAATAACACACGCACACGGGAGATGGACCAAAACAGCCCGATGGCACCCACCTAGCCACACCGGTAGCCTCGAAACCAAAACTAGCACCAGTAGCGTTTAGGGGCTTAATTTCATGGTTTTGAGAGTCTCACGCACAAGTAGTAGATCGCCAACTTAAATTTCAGAACATTCCTTGGCTCGCTGAAAACTATTAGTGACGAGTTGGGAAAAGACGCAAGATAGCGAATGTTGAATGGGTTCGGGAAGTGCGAAGGTATTGAAAAGCTCAGCACGTTCGGACTCTAGTGTGACCGAGTTCGTGCTGAAAGCCATTGATTGAAAATTGTGAGCTTGCGGGTTGTGACGTATGTTCATTGTCCTTGGCCTTTACACAGGCTTCGTTTCAGATAGCAGCAGAGGTGCAAGCTAGGCCACGCTGTCGCGCTTTGTGTCAACGCTGAATGGTCTACAGATGCTTCTTCAGTGCTTCGGGCGTTTCGTTCTAGATCCTAACTTCAGGCTTTGTTGTTGGGGTTTTGCTGTTCAAAGGTCGAGGCGTTTAGGTGCCATGTGAAAGGAGTGGTTGCCCCTCGTTCGTAGTCTCGGGCTGCAAAAGCAAGCATGAAACCTGCGCCCTCAATCCTAAACCCTACACTAAACCCTCAAGCCGAATCGTGGTGGGCCTTCGAAGTCCGGGGGGGTGGACCACTTGATGAGCCTAAAATCAACCCAGCCACACCTTTGGGGTTTCGGGTGTAGGGCCCAGCCCACCCCCTAAAAAGACCCTGATCCCTAATTAAACCCTAAACCCTAAACCCCAAACCCTAAACCCAAAGAACCCAAACCCTTTAAACCCAAAACTCGCCCCCACCCTAAACCCTAAACCCCAAACCCTAAACCCCAAACCCCCGCACACCGCACCATGACCAGCCTAGGGCTATAAAACTGGATGGGGCTCTCTGTTGGGCCGCAAAGCCCTAGCCTACCAAACCCTTATCCCTGGCCCAAGCGTATCCTAGAGGGGGGTTTACGAAAATAGGGGACCCCGAATAGAGACCCCCAGATAGTAGGATCCCCTGATAATAAGGACCCCGATAAGGTACCCCCCAGTTCCGGAACCCCCCATATCCTAGATGGGTCCGTAAACCCAAACAACTTAAAAAAACCCAAAACCCCTAAACCCTGAACCCTAAAACCCAAATACCCTGAACCTCAAACCCTAAACCCAAGACCCTAATCCCATGAACCCTAAAACCCTAAATCCAAGAAACAAAAACTCAAACTCCCCCCCCCCCCCCCAAAAAAAAAAAAGAAATGAAAAAACACACACAAACACACACACACACACACTCTCCCAAACAAACCTAAATCCTAAAACCTCAACACCGATGCGGTCAGATGTCAGAAAGCCATTCGGGTCGAAGAGCTTCACGAAGTCAAGGACCTTTGGGAGCCGTAATGTTCTTTAGGGTTTCGGGTTTAGGGTTTAGGTTTGTTTAGGGTTTAGGGTTTAGGTTTATTTAGGGTTTAGGTTTATTTAGGGTTTAGGGTTTATTTAGGGTTTAGGGTTTAGGATGCTCGGGTGGG